ATTTTTGCAGTGATTTCTTGTTAAAAAAGTGACAACCATGTACCTGGAAGGACCCCATCAGGAGGTTTTTGTGATGCAAAAGATGAATGAGGATATAAAACAAACTAGAAACTGCTGTGGACATACATAAGGAACTTCTAATTGAGAAATGGCCGAGATGCCGTTGCTTGTTCCAGAGCGACTCCATTGATTAAAGGGGGAGAGACAAAGAGCTGCAGGTATGGAGGAAATTCAGAGAAGACCATTTTGAGGAGACTTGCACCTGGTATATTGTCAGTGAACTCTGACGACAGCAGTGGCAATGTACAAACAAGCAGCAGCAAAGTCTTCCTCTAGAACCATATAGTACATTACCAAGCAGTTCACAAAAGCAAAAAAAGAGTAAAATCTGAGAGACAACAAACTTTTCATGATGCCATTATAACCAAAGCATGTGTGCCTGCTCTGTGGCAAACCTGCTCATCAAAGTTACCATGTTTTGTAAGTAAGTTGAAATTATCCAATTACGGCAAGAAATTGCAGCTGGTGACTATTTACACACGCAATATTGAATTTGCAATTATGAAGAAACAAAATTTCATTGAGTGACCTTTTTAGAGTTAAATTTCATTGTGATGACTGCCGATCGCAGTGCAGTTGTCACGCTATCTAGTACAGTGTAAATAACAAATGTGGAAAAGTTTTTTTATCTTGTGTCTGTTCAATTTTCAATTGTTAATTTGGTTTAAACTAGGACACAGATCATGTTTGAACCTATCCAGCACTACCTGTCCCAGGTTGGAAAGTTCTTTGTGGCAATGTAAAGAGTGTAAATTGTGTTATATATGCAAGGTAGCTGAAAGTGAGGTAAGCTCTAATTCTATGTCTTTCTTGTCTTTTGCATCAAACAAGCTATCAGCTGAATCAATCAACTGTCAGTTAAAATTCTGTTACATGTAGTTTGAGAAATTGATGCTTGGTAAAGACTTGATGAATAGATCCTGCATAAACCTGTGGTCAAACTATGAGAAATTGGTTTAATTAAAGTATAATTGATTAAGTTAACTTGGTACTAAATATGCTTACACAAACTACATGTTACCACTCAGCAAAGGCAAGGGTTTCACTAAGGTTCTGGACAAGAAGGCAATATTATTGGTTTTCAAAGGCAGGCAAATATTTTTGAACTGACCTCCTTTATTAGAAAACTTCTGTGACGATTTGTCACACTAGGCTGAGGAACAATGGTCTCACAGTCAGTCAATTTACCAGGTGTGTGGTCCTAAATGGAAGGAGAACACTATATAACAACTGGTGAGGGTCTATAGCAACTTCATGTAACAGCACAAAGTGTAGTATCCAACCATACACCACAATACAGCCTGATAAAACACTATACACCCCTCTACATGAAACTCCTGTAAAGGTTTGGGCAATTTTCAACCAAATTCAGTTCAATTATTAAATATTAATAAAAGCTGAGATATTAATGTACTTTGAACAAAGATAGAAATGACAAATTGAAAATAGAAATCTCAAGTAACATTGTAATAAAAAATGAAGTAGCTATTGAAGGGTAGCAAAAAAGTGTAGGAGCCATCACAAATCAGAAAGTTGGCATATTTTATTACTTGGCTTGGTGCTGTGTTGTGCTACATGTTGAAGTTATTTCTCTATTCTACATGTCTTGTATTATATAGGTCATGTATCTGATGTCACCAAATTTTAGCTTCACTTAGTCAGCTTTGACATAAGGTAGTTTTACCTGAGCTTGTAGTAATTATTGCCTTGATCATGTGTGTGTAGGTGGAACTTGAAATGTGTGACAGCTGTGACAGAGGATTCCACTCCCCATGTGTTTCTCAACAAGTGTCAGTGCAACGCATCAGTATGTGTCCTGACTGTGCATCAGTAAACCCTAACACCATGCAATTAGCTAACACTATTGAAACTTGTGCAGTTAAGAAAAAGCGAGGGAGACCAAGGAGAGTCCAAACACCATCGGAAATATCTCAAACTGACTATGAATCAGAAAGTTCACCTGGCACTGTTTACACACCCAACACTGATCCTAAAGAAAGACAAATTGTTAAAAGAAGGAAGAAATGTCCCACGCCTGGATGTGATGGGAGAGGGCACATGACAGGCAGATTTGAAATGCATCATACTATATCTGGCTGTCCAAAGTATCACAATATGACACCACAAGAGTGCAAGGTTAGGATGCAATTAAAATTACCTACTATATTGATGTAAATTATATTCCTTCTCCCTGGCTGTGAAATGTTTATTTTGAAAGAAGTTGAGACCATTCATTTCTTTCCACCAAAATAAAAACATGTATCTGCTTAGAGAGACATGTAGAAAGAGCATGCAGCAATACTTAGTGCAGTTATTATGATTAAAATGTACCCCTGATTGTTATCAATAGCCATTTACCATACAATACAGATGTATATTTTATGTGAAATATTTATTTCCTGTTCTGTCAGCTAAAGATAATTGTGGATATTTTGTCACCTGTTGGGCACAATAGCGTAGCCTTGGGTTATTATTTTTGTCATCTGTCAAATGTGGCAGCTTAGCATCAAAGTTGTTTTTGTTTTGACCACATTTTTGTGTATGAAATAAGGAAAGTAACTGAGGATGTTGATGTGGAAAATACGAAAAAAAAGTTTGAAACTAACCAGGGCAGTTTAAAAAAATATATGTGTATGTGTAGACTAAAATGATCAGAAAAAGTTAAAGGAAGACAAATGTTTTAGCTGCGAATGAAGTCTCCAGTGGTGAGACTAAATTGGTTCACTCAGAACTGAATGTAAGTTATGTTCAAAAGGTTTTTTGTAACAATTTATAATAGAGCAATTGTTTAAGTCTGTTTTGTTTGTTTTTTTGATATCTGGGAATAAGCAAGGTAAGCACTATGTGCCTCAGCCCCATTGTCCACCAACTGTCTGTCCAGAAATGTACGTAGCAATTAAATTTGCAGATTTGAGAAAATTTTGTCAAACTGAGTGAATGTTCATTAATTTGATAATTTTGGCAAATTTAAGTCAAATTTCTCTGTCAACTCAATACATGGCCGGCAACTGTGAAATTGTCAAATTTGTGCAATTCTACATGGTGTACCCCGAGCTGTGCTGTCATATTTTTTATGTACATTGTGCAACATTTTTGTACAAGGGTAATAAGCTCATGATTTATGAGAATGCTTAAACTATTATTGTGCGGCCAACAGGAGAAGGCAAAAGAAAGAGAGAAGGACCTGACAGTTTCTTCTGAGCAAACAAGTGTGAAATCAAGCAGATCACCCAACAAGATGGAGCAGCCCAAGAAGACATTAAGAAGCAAAGTCAGTTGATAAGTATCCTTCAAGTGTGAACTTAAGATATGAGTGCAGATAAACGCATTTCTTAGTTTAGGCTATACATCAACTGAAGGATGTGCTAAAACAGAGGAGCATGTAAATAAAAGCAGCTTAAAATGTGAGCCTCAGTAACAATAATGCTAATATTGGAGGTGATGTTTATCCTCTTCTGTGCAAATAAAGCTATATTGGAACATCACAAAACTACCCACTGTATTAAAGTCGCGACATACAACAGCCCTCAACCCTAAAAATGTTTAATGATAATGTGAAAAGAAATATAAGGAGTAACATAATTCAATGTTTCAATGTATCCAACATCATTAGCAAGAATAAAAAGTGTTCAATGTCAAAGTTGTTAAAAGAGTTGAGTTATGAATATTATTAGGTGGCATTTCTGTGTGCGTGATAATTATGCTAATGGCTAACTTCACATGAATCGAGTTCCACTGCACGTTCAATGATGGTTTGAGATCTTGTATATTTTCAATTGATATTTATTCTTGATAATGATGTTGGATATGTACATCAAAATGTCAAATTACGTTCCTTACATTTCTTGTTAAATGCTTCAACAAGCAACTGACCATTTGATGATGTGAAAGCTGCTTGTAATTAATGTAATCCCTCCAAAAATATTTAAGTACAGTTGATATACCTAAACGACTCCATCACATTTCCCAAAAGTTCCTATTGAGCGCTCTTGGAAGTGGGCATGTCTAAAACATAAAATGGTGAAATGACGAAATGGCACTAAATAATGTGTGATACAGTCAACTCATACAATCATTGAGAGCTAACCACCTTCAAATCAGTGATATTTTAGGCTAACCTGAGCACTATTTAGGCTAACTGGAGTGCTATTTAAGCTAACTGTTGTGACATTTGGTCATTTCCTCATTTTGTGTTTTAAACATGCCATTCGACATCAAGACTGATTCCTTCTGACTATTTAGCTGTAATAAATATAGCTTTTTTGTGGTTGCAGGTTCAGCTGTCCTTTATGCCAGAAAAGATCCGTGCAGCTGTAACAAGCAAGGAAATTACTCCAGAGGAACACAGTCTGCAGAAAGGCAATGACAGAAAGATGAGCAAGTTATCTAGTGAAAATCTTCACAACGTGCCAGGTCATCCCTGTGAATCGGATACAAATGGTGCTTCAGCGGTTGAACATCTGGATGAAGAAGCTCTCAAAGACATAGCGACAGAAACTGATTTCAAATTGTTCAAAGAGGCTTGGAAAAGATCTATAGATGCTAATGAAGAGGTAAAGAACATGATTTCTGAAATTTCTTTTCGAAGAAATAATGAATAAATGTGGGAAAGAACAAGAAGAGATCCAGATCATGTCAAAATGTGACCCATGTGTGGATGTTTCTGTTGGCAGCACTCTACCAAGATCAAATCTCAATGTTCAAATCTTTAGAATGCTGTAGGTAGTGCTTTTGAGTTGGTAATTTATTGCTTTGTGAAACCTTTAATGGCTGTGTAAACTGACAACACATTCTGAGGGAATTGACCAAAAAGTTTTCAAAAAAGTAAATGCCAGGGAGAAGAAGGGATAAGTATTCTTAGATTTAACTGATGCCTTATACATAGTATGCCAAGTCAAATCTACATTTGTACAGTTGATCAGTTCATCATGTGTTATATACATAGTATGTTTTACATGTAAATATCTTTTGCTGTAGGAACTGCTGCCATTAAATGGTAGATCTGGAAGCCGTTCTATCGTGTTTGGTTCTTTTGAGATAGATACTTGGTACTCCTCTCCTTATCCTGAGGAATTCCAACGACTGCGAAAAATATACATCTGTGAATTCTGTCTCAAATATATGAAGAGTCAAACAGTTCTTAGGAGACATGTGGTAAGTGTATTTAAATTTGTCAGTGGTAAATGCCCCTTTGTTGATGTAAATAGCTAGGACAGATGTGAAATATCTATTATGGAAATTATTTGGTAATGAATTTCCACTGAAATACAACTGTTAATTTTCCGACACATTTTCCCTGTTCAGCCATTGTCTGCAGTAGATATAAGAATGTTTTCTTGCATCTTGTCCTTGTACAGCAATGCAAGAGTTCATTAAGCCTCACAGCTAGGGGGTAGCGAATGTCATAGTCTATGCACAGGATGTTGCAAGCACTTGTACATAATAACCAACCCCACCCCCCTGGTCAGTGCTGTATGATAATTTTGTCATTCTTGTAGGACAACCTAAACTTTGGTCCTTAATTAATTTCTGGTCCTCAACTAAGTATGAACATTAAACAATAAAACCTTACTAGTTAACTTTGTACACTAGTATTTTTTGGAATAAATTTTTCAAGAATTACATGTTAAGTCATACTTACATTATTGTCAGAATTTCATGTCAGTTTTACACTTTACATTGCCAGTAACATAAACTCTTACATGATGTGTGGATTTCTATATTTGAAGTCAGTAGCCACATGTATTTCAGCTATCCCCCCTCCTATCCTTGAGACAAGACTTCTTGTAAAATTTTCCTTTTGCAGAGCACAAGAGCCATCTTTGTTTAGGGAGGTGCCAGGGGATGGGAGATGGTTGCAGGAGGATTTAATCTTGCACTCCTTTGTATAGATTTACTAGGATAAGCAAATGTTTGACATGTCAAGCTTGTCATTTGTTTTCGTAGGCTAAATGCCACAGTAGATATCCACCAGGAGATGAAATATACCGAAAGAATGGCCTTTCTATATTTGAAGTGGATGGAAAAAACCACAAGGTCAGTCACCAAATTATGACTCGAACTATGTGAGTGCTAAATGTTTCTGTAAAAAATGTATCACACAATGTAAAGGCAAGTTACCTTCGTCTAACTCCTTGTGCCAGATTGGCACATAAGGCCTCCACATTCACTTTCCATTGACTCTTGTCTTGTGCTGCAGCATGCACCCCACTCCAGGACTGCAAGCTCTCTCTCCCTTTTCTACTGTACGCTGCCTTGTTGTTTTTGGCTGACCTCTTTCTCTTTCCCTCGGAGGCCCTTTCAGGGCTGTAATACTATGATTTTCAGGTTGTTGTTGGGAGGTGTCTAAGGAATTGTGATCTTCTCCTTCTTACATCTTAAGGACGTTTGTGCGAAAATGTTGTACTCAATAGATTGTCTTCAAACTTCTACTGTTGACAGATAATGAATTACTTGTTTCAGAAATGATAAAAAAAAAAAAAAATTGGGGGTCATGGACTTCATTTCAGAGATAAAGCGTGTGGAAAACTAGTCTGATTTTGAAAAATTGGTATGCATAAATCAGCATGGTCTCCAGGGTTTTTAGCTTAAAATAACAAAGATGAATCAACGGAGACAAACTATCCTAGTAATGTTTTGTATAAGTGAATCCCTTGTGTTAATCCAAATGTTGCCGACATTTTCAGAAAACTATCATTGCTCATTTTATTACTTATAGCATGCACTCGATGCATGACGTGGTGAGTGAAGATAAAGATGCACAGAAACAATTAGTGTGAACGTCCTTAAATCCCGCTTAATCCTTTCAAGTAGCTCTCGATAACTGATCTTGTCTTGCCATTATTTTTATCTTCATTGTTCTTCACAGGTGTAAAGGCAAATTAATGGATATTAACATTGATTGCATTTAGCTACAATGATGCCTTGGGACTCAGGCCTTTTATTTTGTTTCTGCTGGTTAGGTTTACTGCCAAAACTTGTGTTTATTGGCCAAGTTATTTCTTAATCACAAGACTCTTTACTATGATGTGGAACCTTTCCTGTTTTATGTCATGACGGTAGCAGACTCAACAGGCTGTCACATGATTGGTTACTTTTCAAAGGTAAGACACATATTTATATATTTTTTGCAGAAAACTGTGCAACAGTAAAGGATGCTGAGTGAAGGGGCGGGGTGGATTTGTAGAATACCATTGAATTCTTTTTCAAAAAGGTGTTTTACAATAACTGCAGAAATTCTTTCGTAGTCATAGTCTGCAGATCCACTTTAACAAAGTGATGACAAAATTCATGATCAATAACAAAACAGGCGCATGAAAAACTGATGTCATTTGTTAATTTTAACACAAATGTGTAAAAAAGTCTGTATCTCTGTTAGCTTCATTATGAATTTCATAATTCTATACAATATGTTATGTTGCTAAAGTGCAGTGAAGGAATGTATGGAATCCTTTACCAGTCTGGTGCACAGCACAACTATGCAGACACAGCTTAGCTTAATATCTTATTGATTTATTAACTTGGTGTTTTGATGTTTTTGGTTTTCTTCACTTCAAGGAAAAGAAGTCCTTTTTGAACTACAATGTATCATGTATACTTACCCTGCCAGTATACATGAAACAAGGATATGGAAAAATGCTGATTGATTTTAGTAAGTCACTTAAATTTACATTGTTTGTAATATCTATTCCTTGCTATAGATTGACATATGCAGTTGTGCATGTACAGTCAAACACACACAGAAAACCAATTACGGTGCCAGCATTATTACATGATTACTCATCTGCTCTATAATCATTATCATTATTATCACTCAATGGACCAATCACTCCAGGGGCCTGTTTCTCAAAGGTCCCAAAAAGTTTTTGCACTTGGAAAGCCATGGCAAAATCTCAAACCTTATGATTACAGAGCTGTTTTATTCACATATTCTTAATATGAACAGAGGTTCTCTTCATACAAGGAGTTTCAAGCATATACACCTCTCGGTTTTTACATACAGATTATCTAAAAATGGCTTTGTGGGCCTGAAAATTTTCCGGGGCTTTCAAGAAATGGGCCCTAGGCCAGAACAAGTTAGTTGACTGTACATGTTTTGGACCTTCTTGGCATGTACATGTACATGTAGTATTGTTGTTGTTATCTGCTTTTGTTTTCTTTGTAAATTCTTTTGCTTTGCTGCTTTCTATACATATCTACAGTTAAACCTCCAATAACTTAAATGTCCACCGCTATACCAGCCACCAGGGTTTTTTCTTTGACTCTACACCCATTCCCACACTTAACCGGACTGTTGAGCGTAATAAGATTACTTTCATCTTTAGAGGAGATTATGCAAATTACGCGTTGTTAGAATTTTTTAACAACTGTTAATGACTGCCACTTGTCCAATGCTTTTCTTGTGTCAAGCTCAAGTATTACTTTCTTTAAGTTCATTATCAGTCTGTTAGTGGTCTTCAGTTTTGATATAACTTTATGCAAAGAAACCAGCTAGGTTATTTTCTCTGCACTCTTATTTCCTCCATACATCAGTATTCTACTGTCATTTTTTTGTGTTGCCATTGCTAAAACATTCAGCATCATAAACTGCACTTGCTTTGTCGTGTTTCCGTTTTTCAGGTTATCTCCTATCAAAAGTGGAAGGAAAAGTTGGTTCACCCGAGAAGCCTCTATCAGATCTTGGACTGATTAGTTATCGCAGTTATTGGAAGAGCATTTTGCTTAAATATCTCAAGAATTTTGGGTTTGACAGGATCTCCATTAAAGGTAAGGGGTATATCTTAGTGTTACAGAAATCAATGTTGGTTAGCTATACGAGAAATTCTGTTTTGGGGTGGGTGTTGTGTAGTATTTTTTGAATCATGTGTTTTAACACAATTAAAATTGCTCTTTCTGTAACACCAAGAAACTTCTTAAATGAATAGACGTGTCGGAGATTCATTTGCGTTCCAACAGATCTTGTGTTCATTTGCCTTTAGTTAATAAATTGGTAGAACGTCTATCCCAGTTAGTACTGCAAAATCGTTGCTGAACTGTTTTTGTCGCGAGAGTGGCCTCATGATTTTCTTAATGTTTATGTTCATGGCAGAGAGACATCGGTAAAACTTTCCATTTTCTCAAAATTTATGCATCTTAATGACTTAGCAAGAATTTCAAATTGACTCGTTTTGCTTTTGACGTACGTCATTCATTTGAAGCCGGTCATTCATTTGAAGCCCTTCCACGTGACTTGAAATGGTTTCACGTGCCTGTCAGACACCTAAAAGACAAAATAAAAACCCGACTTAGGCTAACCACTTCTTGTCAGTCCGAACTGTAGGTTATGGATCCTCATTTTTCCCTGTTTCATTTTTTTTTGTCTTGCGCTTCTTGTTTGAGGCCGTAAATTGAAGGGGAAAAACTTGGTCCATAACTTAGAGCACGGAACTTGAATTTGTTTTGTGAGAGGTATTTCCTTGCTAGTAGGGAGGTCCCTATGGAGAAAAATTGCACCCTGCACCCAAGACACGGCTTTTAACTTGGAAATTTTCCAAGTTGTTGGTGTGGAGTGGTGGTCCTTCACTCCGCCACTTCTTTTTAAACATTTCGACCACCCCCCGGGGGGGGGGGACTCCCATATGAAAGGGTCGGGGATGGTCGTTGGAAAATTTGAATTAAATCCCCAAAGAAGCTTTATTTGATTACTAAAAGATACCACTTAAAACGGAATGGGTTGAATTACCAGCAGCTGTTCAGGAGAGGAGGCCGCTCTAGTAGACTAGATTCGAGAGACCTTCGGAAATCAAGCCTAAAAACGGAAATAAGAGCATTTTTTACAGTGCGTTTACTGACACCGGGGCCACCCATACATTGAAAACCAATCAGATGGTAGAACTGAAACAGTAGATTCCAACATTTTCAAATCCAACCAAACAAATGTCCGTATCAAAACAATGAAATCTCAACTTGTTCATTGTGATGACCTGTGTCATGTTGGCTATAGTCGAGAGGTAGAAGTTGAAACGATTTTTCGATTGTAAGGAAAAGAATCATTGTTTTTTCTTGGCGATTTGATGGTAAGGAAAAGTCTTCACGGTTTTTTTTTCACAAACCTACGGGATACTAGGGGCTAGCATATTGTGAGTTCGAAAATAATCAAGATCGGTTGATTAAAAGCTCCAGAAAATTTTTTTCAACACAAGAAATGGAAAGACAAACGCTACTTTTCCGTAAATGATTTCTTGACATAAATGTATGCGTTAAAAAAACAGTGACAAAGAGAAGAAAAAAGAAATTCGAACTTGCAAAGAAACTTTGTTATCTACGAAATTCGAACTTGCTTATTCCTGCGTTGAAGGGAAATGATTATCTTAGTGCGCCACTTGTACTAGCGTGAAAATGTTAATAACATACGTACGTATGTACTAAAACGCTCGAGTCAAAGCCAAGATAGCCGTGATTAATATTTTAAGACGAGAATCGGACAGGGGAATTGAGGAAAGACCAAACTGTGCGTTTCGCTTATAACTTTTCGGTAATGTAAATAAATCTGGAGATGGCGAGATGATGTGAACGAATAGTTGATGAAAAGAAGAGAGAGACATTACACAGGGCTGGGAATTCTGAATGCGCTGATATTGCCTTGGAAAGGAAAAAAAAAAGAAAAAGAAAAGAAAAGAGAAAACATTACAACACGGGGTATTCGTATTTGGTCACACACTTAACCCCGCCGAACAGGGCTTCACTTTGTAGATCGGACGAGACGCGGTGCTGTCCTTGCGAGATGATAGTGATTCCATGCTAAACACCATAGTTTATTTCGAAGATCTCTCAAATTTTGAAGCCCATACTTGAAATATTGACCCCAGGACCCACGATCGTATATATTTTTTTGTCTTTTATTAATTTTTATTCATTTCAAGTTACTTACAATTTTTTAGAACCAAACAGAATTCATAATCAAACAGACACGGTACATGATACATTTACATACACACACACTCCTCAGTTCCTCTTAACTCTCTTCTACTTTTAGATATAATACTAGTGCGGCGCAGCCACAACACGAGATTTTATGTCAATCTTATTGTTTTTGTACTTGCCCTCACTTCATATACGATCGTAAATGCCTAACTGAAGTTCAGATTGGTATCAAAGATATAGAAATCATACACAACTTTATATCGATGGAGCGGTCAAACTTCACCATACAGGGCAATGGATGGGCTAAGCCAAAGACGAAGAAACCGTCAGAGCGTAAATGTAAGGGAAGGAAATCACTTGCATTGACTTGTGTATATTGGCGGGGAACATAAAGAACAAAAAAATGTAATGAAAATAGGAAAGGAGATGAGAACCCGAAATACAGGGATTTTATCACTTGGTCACGCGTTCAGTAAACTTAGCTTTGGTGATTGGACAACAAGCGGTACTTTCTTTGTGGTAACGGTCTCGGACAAGGATTCGCGGTGTGACGTTTCCTTCTGTATTCTCTTACAGTTGCGTTTTGCACTATTTCTTAACATTGCCAGTGGGCTGCGACTTAAGTTTGGTGGCGTCACAATTTCCACTGTTTACAGATGATCCATTTTCCAAGTGGAGTGGCTCATAACCACTTTGATTCCGTTTTATACAGAACTTCCGGCCGGCAAACACATGTGACGAGAAAAAAGATTGCGAGATTGTAGAAATTCAAAGAAGGAAAATTTAAAACCCTGCGGCACTTTTCATTTTGTATTAAAAAGAATGCTGGCCTGTGTAATGTCATGTTTTGTCAGCAACGAACTTATCAACATGTTTCAGTCTTTGTCTTGCTATGGCTCTGTTCGTTAGTTTTTTATTTTGTCCGATATAACATACGCTCTGATTGGGTATTTTAGGTAAGATTATTTCGTAATGCCCGTGAGTTATTGTTTATGCCCTACTAAAAAGATAACAAAATAAAGTTTGTAGTTGTTATGCTTAAAACACTTGCTCCAAGACCTCACCATTATAACGATGAAAACCATGTCACAAGATCTGAATAACGGTATGTACATTTAAAACTAAAAAATGAAGGTAAGTTTGAAATTAAGTAGCGATTCATTTGATAACACTTCTTGCTATTTTCCCAGACATCAGCCAGGAAACAGCACTTCATCCAAGTGACATTATCAGCACTCTACAGTATTTGGGTATTCTGAAGTACTGGAAAGGAAAACACGTCATTTTAAGAGCCACGGTGAGTGTCACTAAGTGCAAAGAAATGTCTATAATGTAAAGAAAATTTATTATCTTGTACATGCTAATGGCAGATAACCTAGTTTCTTAGTCATTGGTTGGGGCTTTTAAAATTGAAATTGCAGTCAGAAAATAGGCTCAAATATCAGCTGCTTTTAAGTAAGTGGCACAGAATTCGAGACAGGGGCGCAACTGAACCTAGTGGGAATGCTAGAATATCATGACAAATTATAGTTGCAACTTGGCAGCGCATTTTGCAGATGTATTATTTGGATACAATACTTCCAATGGGTCTGCTGACAATGTAGATTTTAAGGCTTGGCTATGCCAAGATGTAGCATTATAAATTATGTTGTATGGTGATGGTTTTCATTCCGATCCACGCAGAACTGTACATTCTACCATTTCATCCGTCAATTTACAACTTGTTTTAGCAGTGTTGGCCAATCCTTTAGCTGTAAGTAGATTTTTGCACATAAAGTAACATGTATTATTTCCTTAATTCAGGATCTATTTGATGACTACGAGAAGAAGGCTTTATCTAGGCCTGCCAGCTATCAGGAGATTGATCCCACGTGTCTATCGTGGGTCCCAAGAACTATTCAAGATGAAAAAACATAGTATGGCCACCCTTAGGGTTGACTGACAAGTAGAGCAGAACGACGTGTACTAAAACACAAAGTTTACAAGATCGTCTTAGTCCCTCTGATGGAGATAACGATTGTTGCTCCCTTACAAAGGCAGCAATCCTCATGGGAAGTCTTGGGACGCTTCATCTTTTACCAATAAATCTTTGTCTTCACCTCCCCCTCACAGACCAACTCAGTGCTGACGTTGATCCATACAACAGGCCCCATGTTCTCCTTTCCTTTTTTTTTTGGGGGNTTTAAGTACCAGAGACGGAGCAAATTAGAGCTGAGATTAAAAGTATAAGCGGTGGGGCCATGGAGAAATTTTTTGATTTGTGAGGATCTTTGTCTATGTTTTTCTTTCTTTTTTTTGGTGGGGGGGGGGGGGGGGGGGGCGAAGGGGGGAGCAAAACGTAGATCACTTGTTGGCATTTTGTCGAGTCTTGAAGTTATCAATGTGCTGAGAATGGTGTAAATTCTTTAAATTAACTTCTTGATCCGTTCATAGTTAATATGTTTTATCTTGTGATGCTTTAGGATCTTAACCTTCCACTGACAGAACGGTGAAAAAGAAGAAAGTGAAGTCACCAGATTTGATAAGCATGATTTCATAAAACTTTGTGTCTGAGAAAGACTGTCAATTTGTAAAGAACTAGTCTAACTGTGAGAGGGGCTTTTAGAACAGTCCTAAGGCAGAGTCGCGCTCAAGCTTTAAAGAAATACAACCTCCTGGACCCTTAGATGTTTGCCACACTCGCAAAATAATCTTAAGCTTGATGTAGAGGAAATACTCAAAGTAAGCGGTTGAGGACTGCCAACTTGAAGCCCTGCACTTAAAACACAGAATTCATTAAGTAAAAATGAACCTCGTTGTCTGTTCACTGGTTGTTTTATTTATTTGCTGGCTTTTTTAAATTTTAAACGATACACATTTGAAAATGTAGCGAACTCATAACCATTACTTAATCTTATCCAATACTATCTTACCCATTACCGTATTACATTATGTTAGCATAGAAACAATTACAAAAATTACACATACTCAATTCCAAAGTTGAAACGTCTGGTGTTTAGGAACAAGACTTATCCTTGTGTACTCATCAGTTCATGGTTTTTGGTCAGATTGCACCCATCTGACTCATGAAACTGGGTCAGTTGAAAAATGACACATTTTATTTATACCACAATTAAAGGCATTTAATTTGACTGTTAATGGCACTAAGGACAGTTTTGCTCCTACTTTGCCTTGCTTTTCACCAACCACTGTAACAGCAAAATCATTTGACTTAAAATGATCAGTAACCTATCAAGTATATCTGAAAGGTCAAATAAGGCAAACGCCACTAAATGACTAGTTACATCCGGTCCTATTTCCCACGCTGGGAAAAGAACCTCAACAGTGATGGCTGAATAAGGAAAAGAGTGGATACACTGTACCGGTAACTCAAGTCAAGAGAGGATGAAGGCTAAGAGAGTAAATCCCCCATATAGGTCCTATTTCCAAGGTAATCCCTCTAAAGGTATTTTTAAGTCACTCCTAGTTCAAGAAATCCCAAGAGGGTCTAAAAATTGTCAATCCCGTTACGCTGATTTTTCTGATTTGGACAGCCCAAGCTGCTTTACGTGCGTTTTTCTTACTCCCCAAAAACATCAATGCAGCATGCGTTGTAACAGGAACTGGGTACCATTTCTAAACTAACTTAAGAGGGATTACCGTGGGAATAAGGCCTAGCTACATGTGGATTAATAGACCAATTTCGATATATTAAAATTCAGCCTAACACAATAGACCTCAGTACGAGGCTCTGGGGAATAAACCCCACAAACTCTGTAATTATTCCCCAGAGCCTCGCACTGAGGTCTATTGTTTTAGGCTGAATTTTAATATATCGAAATTGGTCTATTCTCTTACCCTTCATTCTCTCTCGAGTAAGTACTATCACTTGTCCATGATTTGCTCTATGGTTTCGAATAAAATAACGTCTTCCTTTCCTGTCACTGATACTGTCTTTGATTCTTGAGAAATTTGAAATTCATCAAAATCTAGATAAGGCAGAAGTTGCAACTTGACAGCCTGACAAATGTTATCTAAGTGCCTATATACACTGATGCTTCACTGTGCATTTAATATACAGAGTTTGCTTTCCACTTAACAGTGGTTAACATAATATACAAAATCAACTTCAATGTAAAATGATCATCAGTTTTATTTTAGGATGAAATATTGGATATTCCTTGGCACTTAACAGCCCTGTCTGGACTTTCCTGTTTTGACTGTCTTGTTCTTTCTCAGACCCACAAGTTTAACTCGGCCGTCTATCTTCATGTACTGAAACAAGGAAAAAATCATTGATACCTAAAAATTGTAGACCAGCGATTCATGAGTTCTAGTCAAAGCCATGCAGAACTGATCATGCATGTGTGTTCACTGCTAAAACTGTTCCAAAAGTGCATCTAACTACTTCAATATAGTATTCATGACTAGATACACAATTTGGTGTTAAAGTATAGCAGACAAATCCAGGCCATCACTGTTTAGGGCACTGCCAATGGAAGTAACTGTACGATGATGACCACTCGCAAGCGAAAACAATTCTCTGGGGATGTTCACGTCTTGAGTGCATCACTGGATTATGACGCACGCTTACCTATATGCCGAGTTTGATAGCTTGGATTTGTTGGCTATTTTACAAAGTCCAAAGATGTACGCTTATGACGTGAGCAATTTCTATTGCCATTGTTATAAAGCAATTTTAGCTGTGCAACATCGAGCCATGTTGCACATGGGGAGCCTGGAAAGCAATCAAAAAACTTGTCTCAGGACGCTTACGCTTCTTTCGTGATTTCCAAACTTCCCACATGCATTATGAATCAGTAATGCACACGAAGTGTGAATCAAATTGTTAAATTACGTGTACTCTTTAGTCCAAAACACGTATTATATAGCCTGCAAACGAATTCCAGTTTTTGTACGTAAGTTTAATCTGTCATTGCATTGGTCTGGCACCCATACCCCTCTGCAGATTTTTGGTCCCTTCCCAGGGGTCTTCCCGCCCCAGGCCTTTGCGTGTCTCTCAACTGAACTTTCGTTTGCTCCTCATGTTTGAAAAGGAAATGACAAGTCAGCATTTTGCTCTTTTGAAAAACTTAAAAACAATCGGATGACGTGCAAATTTGCTTAGATTTAGCATCTTTTATACAAAGAAGACAACTACTAACAAGAGTATGACCAAAGTTCCACTACCCTTACCATTTTTTTTTGTTTTATAAAACAAATACTGAATATTGCCTCTCCCCCAGGTTGTACTGAGAATGGTGTAACTTGGGTTGACTTGTGCCAGTTGCACTTCATGTACAACTGGTTTTCATTCCTTCCCAAGCATGAAAACGTTATCCCAAACAGTGAGTAATGATGGTGCCTAATTCACTTGGGGAACATGTTTTATTCACTCCTTAACGATACAAGATCTACTCGTGAAACTCATGAGCACTTTGTTCAGGTGCAAACTTGTCCATGCCCTTTTTAATAAATACAATTTTGTGTAAGCTGATAATTGTTTTTTATTTTATTTTCTGGTATGCTACGTTTTCTTTCCTATAGGCACACACTGTTAATTTTGTTTCGAAGTCACTCGATAAACTTAGAACACAGTTTGCCAGGTCTATTAGCAGTCATCATTAACATTACATATATTCTTAATGTGTTGATTGAAACTTGTAATTTATAATTGGCACATTAAACACAGCCAGTCTACACCACTGTAAAACAAATATTGGACTAAACATATGACGTTTTGAATTGTGATTCTTAACCGAACTAAGGAGTTCCTGAGTTTAACATAAGCTAGTGGTCTAATGGAATAAAGAGAACTGACTCTGGGAACACTGATTTATAACACTAGGCCATGCAGCCTTTTCATGGAGCGTTCTTTACAACATTTTACTCAAGGTAAACCAATTAACAACATGGAATGTGATTTCATGACTTACCCTCTGAGCCCAAACAGCTGTCCCTTGTACAGTGCCAATCGCCATTATCACAATTACTGCAAAACACAAAATTATGTGGGTGTCATTTTACAACCCAATGCTCATACTAGCGTTAACATTTTAAGTAAAACTTTGATTTTTGAACCTTCTAAATTCATAACCAAATTGTTCAAAAATTAGTGTCCCTTTTTGCTAACATTGTTTTCTCACAACAGAATTTACTTGCAACAGAGTCGCCACTTTAGCTACACAAAATATCTGTCACACGGTAAGATAGATGAACACTACTAGATGAAACAAAGGGGTTCTAAGTATTCACAGAACCCAGACTGTCTGAGTCTTTCAGGTCTGAGGTCCTGGGCGTGGACGTGTTTAAAGCATGAAATGATGAAATGGTACTATGTTTTGCCTAAATAGCATAAATATCACTGACTTGAAGGTGGTTAGCTCTCTCACATTGTTAAGTACCATTTTGTCATTTCACCATTTTGTTTTTTAAAACAAAATGGCGAAAAAAAAATACCCCTGACATGATTTTCATTTCATGATATGGAAATATATACGATTGACTTCAAGTTGCTGTATGGGGAAATCAGCAAATATCAGACTGGAGAGAAAAGCATAAATCAACTACAGTGCAACACTCACCACAATGTGCACTGATCCAACAGAAGTTTGAAGTCACCATGTAGAAACTTTTGTCCATCATACATACAACCTGAGAAATTAGTGCTTTTATTTAGTTCCCTGGAAAATTTGTAAATGTTTTCACTAAAAATAATCTGCAGAGCTTCGTATTTCTATTTATCTTCTTGGTGTTTGGAAAGGTGGTCAAACACGGTCTTTCGTGTTTGACATATTACTTCAAACATAGACGAAACCATGAATTGAAAGCCTCATTTGGAAAATATCTCACAGCGAACCTTTCTATAGGCAAAAATAGCTTGAGCCATATAGGACAATAAAATATGTTGTGGTTTGAGGAACGTTAAGTACAGCTCTAATAAATGCACTCTCTGCGCCCTCCAAACATCAGCCACGCAGGGCCACAAGTTATGTAGTTGGAAATCCAGAATAAAGCAGCCCCACACCAGTACATG